CAAGGACATTTCAAAGTTAAGTTAGTAATATGACAGGAAAGGTCAAGATTGGATAGACATGTATTTTAACACCCGCCCTCAATCTTGACCTTTAAACAAATCTAACATTCTTAACTTTGAACACAGGTAATTATGTTGATTTACACTTAAAGCTTTGGTCAAAATATCAGCTATTTGTTCAGAGGAAATAACTTTGACAATCTTTAAAACACCTCTACTAATTTTTTCACGAATATAGTGAACATCAATTTCGATGTGTTTAGTTCTTTCGTGAAAAACCGGGTTATTAGCTATTTGAATAGCTGATTTGTTATCACAATACATATTAACAGAAAGCAGATTATTAATATTCAGATCAGACAAAATCTTAAGAACCCAGATAATTTCGCATGATACAGATGCCATGGCTCTGTATTCGGATTCAGTAGACGAGCGTGAAACAGTACTCTGTTTCTTGCTCTTCCATGACACAAGAGAATTTCCAAGGAATAGACAATAACCTGTAACTGAGCGTCTGGATAATAAGCACTTACCCCAGTCAGCATCTACGTAAGCAGTTAGATTAAAAACTTCTGACATTGTAATGCTGATGCCCTTTCCAGGAGATGATTTTAAATACCTGAGAATTCTTAATGCCAAATTTAAATGCGATTGTCTAGGAGCATGCATATACTGACTCAGACAATGAACCGCAAAAGCTATATCTGGTCGAGTTGCAAGAAGATAAATCAACCTTCCTATTAATCTTTGGAAACCAGAACAATCAGCTAAAAGATTATCACTAGAACTATTAGAACCAGATATAACAAGATTAACTTCCATAGGAGTACTAGACGGTTTACATCCCAAATACCCAAAATCATTTAATAATTCCAAACAATATTTCCTTTGGGACATGCAAACACCATTAATACAATTTAGAATTTCAATTCCTAAAAAGAATTTTAAATTTCCTAGATCCTTAATCAGAAATTTACTTTTTAAGTACTCCTTAAAGGCATTAATCTCATTTACACTATTTCCTGTAATAACAATATCATCTACATAAACAAGAAGAACAAGAAACACAGAATCAATACTTTTTGTGAACAAAGAATAATCAATAATACTTTGCTTAAACCCATTCTCAATTAAGCACGAATACAACTTTGCATACCACTGCCTGGGAGCTTGTTTTAGCCCATATAAGGACTTAACCAGTTTACATACCTTTTTCTCTTTAGGATCATAATAACCCTCAGGAAGAGTCATATATACATCTTCAACAAGATCACCGTAAAGAAAAGCATTATTGACATCCAACTGAAACAAAGGCCATTTACATTGAACAGCAAGGGCAATTATACATCTGATAGTAACCATTTTTACGATTGGGGAGAAAGTCTCCTCATAGTCTAGGCCCTCTCTCTGACTGTACCCCTTAGCCACTAATCTGGCTTTATACCTTTCAATTTCACCATTGGACTTATACTTTATTTTGTACACCCATTTACAGCCTATAGCTTTTCTATTACTAGGTAAATATGTTACATACCAAGTCCCATTTCTATGCAAAGCCTCCATCTCTTCATTCATAGCATTTAACCAATTTTGATCACAACAAGCATCTTTAAAAGATTTGGGCTCGACAGACTTATTTAAATTTGACACAAAACAGAAATTATCAGAAGAAAGACAAGAGTAATTAACAACCCTTTCAATGTCATACTTGACCTTACCCTCAATAACAAAGTCATCAAATTTCCGAGGGATTGTGTTTTGGGAAAGTTACCCTCAGGGACAAGACCTGTATTATCATCATTAGCTAATACAATATTACTAGGAGGACTGGCAACCAGTCTAGAGCTACCCAAAGGTTGCCAACTGGTAACTCCACCAAGACTATCCTTTTGGGGAAGACTTTGTCTATCCTGATCAATCGAGCTGCCTAGCGGGCTGACTATTATTGTCCCTAGATAGGCTACCTAGTCCTCTTTGTCTACTGTTACTAGAATTTTCTTGGTCATTAGGATCATCAGTAACAGGTCTACTATTCTCATCATCGGGTCCCACAACATTGAACTCATTAGAGGAACCAGAAACAATATCAAAGAAATTCAGATTATCAACATTTTCATTTACAACCAAATCAGTTTCCTCAGTACTCATCTTATAAGGAAAAATATTCTCATAGAATTTTACGTCTCTGGAAAAAACAATTTTCTTGGTTTCTAAGCTATATAGCCTATAACCCTTCTTTGAGTTAGCATATCCCAACATAATACATTTTTCAGATTTTGGTGAGAACTTATTAGATATATTGGGAATATGAACAAAACAGAGACATCCGAAATTACGCAGATGAGTTAGAACTGGTTTAAAGCCGTAAATAACCTCGTAGGGACTCTTACCATTTAAAAGAGAAGTGGGAGTTCGGTTAATCAGGTAAGTAGCAGTTAAGACACACTCACTCCACATATTAAGGGGGACTCCAGCCTGAAACATTAGAGCCCTGGCAATGTTAAGTAAATGTCTATGTTTGTGTTCAACCACCCCATTTTGTTGGGGTGTGTAAACACAAGAAGTTTGGTGAATAATTCCTTTTAGCTCAAAGAATTCACACAGACTTTGGTTGGTGAATTCGGTTCCATTATCACTTCTGAAAACTTTGACACTTTTACCAAACTGAGTAAACAATAAACTGCAAAAAAAATTAATATGATCCCCAACTTCATGCTTTCCCTTTAAAAGATATACCCACACAGCGCGGGTAAAACCATCGACAATAGTTAAGAAGAATCTATATCCTTCTCTACTTTGAATGTGATAAGGTCCCCAGACGTCCAGGTGAACAAGTTCACCTAGACTTTTAGTCTTATGAGTACTGGTTCCAAATTTCTCATGGGTTTGTTTTGCCTTATGGCAAATTTTGCAGGGTCCACTAATTTCATTACCAATGTTTAGAGTGTCTTTTAAAACATGTAAGACTTGATAAGCTGGGTGACCAAGTCTACTGTGCCATAATAAACAAGAGACAAAGCAAACCATACCACAACCATTAGAGTCACAAGGAACATTGTAGGTGGGATTATGATAAAAAAAGTATAGCCCTCCATCCTGACTACCAGTCCACACAATGTTCTTCTGCAGATAGTCCTGAACATAGCACTTTGTTTCATCAAATTTTATACAAACTTTATTGTCTCTGGCGAGCTTATGAACAGATAGAAGATTGACATTGAACTCAGGAACTACTAGGACATCAAATAAGGTCACATTATTAGATAATCTCAAGTTACCTATTTTATTTATTTTAGCTTTAGTACCATTAGGGTGACTAACGCTAAGATTTAAATCAGTGACATCCACAACATTTTCTAAGTTTAAGAAACTAGAGGTCATATGTTGGTTAGCTCCAGAATCAACAATCCAACTAGAAATAGACTTTTGATACATACCTGCCATATTGGCAGAAGGTCCTTCAGAGGTGACTTTGGGATTGATCAAGTTCAGGATCTTAGCTATCTACTCTTCAGAAAAAGTAAAGGATGATTTTGGAGAAGCAGACTCAGGAACAGAGGCATTACCAACAGATGGTTTAAAACCTTGATTTTGAAATTTAGTATTTTGAGATTGAGGTTGAGATCTGGGGCGATTTTGAAAATCCTTTGGGAAACCTATAAGTTTGAAACAACGCTCAATTGTGTGTCCAGAAATCCCACAATGTTTGCAAATGAGACCAGTAGTGTTTCTTCCTGGTCTTTTTCTATTTTCAAAACCTTTGCTCAAAAAAGCAGAATTTTGATTTTTTCCACGATTTTGACTAGAATTGATTCCCCTATGAGATTCCTCCCTAGATACGAGAGAAAAAGCAGTTTTAACGGATGGGAGAGGATCTCTAGTTAAAATGTTGCTCCTAATAGGTTGATAAACCTCATCAAGACCCATAAGGAATTGCATTAGTTTAATAAGTTGGCTGTGTTCTAGGAAATCATGCGAGGCATTGCAAGTACAGGATGGAAGTTTCACAAGAGCGTCGAATTGTTTCCAAAGGGAATTCAATTTATGGTAGTATTTAGAAACGGGCAGGTTATTTTGACTCAACGAATTTATTCTTTGATAGAGATTAAAAGTCACCGATCCGTCAACCTTATCGTAAGTCTCCTTAAGTTCCTCCCAAACTTGAGAGGAAACTTTAGAGAAAACCTGTCCAAGAAATAAATCCTCTGTCATGGAACTTAAGATCCATGAGAGGACAACAGAATTGCAATGATCCCACAGTTTCTCAAGTGTGGGATCATTTTTAGGACGGAGACAGGAGCCATCAATGAAACTAAGTTTATTTTTAGTCTCAAGGGCTAAAATCATCGCACACGACCACACCCGATAGTTCTCTGTTCCACATAGCTTGAAGGATAATATAGAACCTCCAGTAGTATCACTAGGGTGCAAGTACAAGGGGTCTCCAAAGTCTAATTTTATGACTCTGGATTCCATTGGACTTGACGTACTAGCATTAGATACGGAAGATTCCATAAGCACAATTAAACAAACGCACACGAAAAAACAGAAGACTGAAATGCTTAAAGGCAGGATTCCTAAAACACTTATAGTGTTAGGTCAAGCCAACAAGACAGTTTCTGACCCCACAAAAAAACAGAGAAAGAACACACAGCAAGAAAGAAGAAAGAGCCTTAACACAACGTCCTTTAACAGAGTTAAAGGTTAACAAAAAAACAGGTAAAGAAACACAATAATCACACAAGATGAAAAAATGATAAGAGAAACTACTTATCACAGGAGCTCCCGGATGTACCTGAACAGAAAAAGAGGTTAGAGGCACAATTAATGCCAGATCTGAGATAAACCAGATCTAGACTTATCAGATAGAAATAGATGACAAATGGTGCTAATAGAACAGAGAGAGATCTCAACGAGATACCCAAATAGATCATGAAGACCCAAAAAATAGGATGCAATACAGCCGATCATTTAAACACAGATTATAGAAGCATGTATGCATAAAGAAATAGATCTGGAAACATGGACACAGATCTAGGTCAACGAGATATACAGAATTATGAATGGATCCGGATGTATGGACACAGATCCTTAACAAATTTAAAAATATAGCAAGCATATTAACCAGATCTGGAAATAAGGACTCAGATCTTGAAACATTATAGGCAAAAAAAGGAATATGCCTATAAAGAAACAAAAGGATCTGAAGAAAATAAACACAGATTGATAACAAAGAAGCTATGCGGACCAGATCTTGAAAGGGGACCAAATAAGAATGGTACATGCCCAATCATATTTCTGGAACAAGATAAAGAGAGGAAGATGAACAGATATTATATTTGTTTTGTAGATATCGTGGATGAGCCTAGCAAAGCGAGGGCAAAAATACACCAAGCATAAAGGACTCATACCAGTCACGTATCTAAAACCAGATTAAGAAGAAATAAACACAGACGCGAGCGTGACGCTCTGATACCATGTTATTTTTCTTAAACACACTCATATTAACAAAACAAAGGATTACACTAGACTGAAAATGTAAAAAAACAGATTACAAAATAGATCTACAAATCTAACACTAAAGAATCTAAAGTATGAAGAAGAGAAACACTAACTCAGCTTGTTAC